GAATAACGAAGTTAAAACAATTTTAGGTTTGAAAGGTTTTTCCTTTCTTTAAATATTTTGAGAAACTTCCCAAGCAACATTTTAAGTAAAAGCGTAGAGCTTTAAGGCAATATTACTTAATTTATGTAAATATTTTGTTAAATTTACCTTAAAAATTTACTTTGAAGTAAAACTTTTTTTAAAGTTATTTAATAAATTTTATTTATGTTATTTTTACCTATTTTAATAACCCTTAAGTTTCAACACTTTAAAGTATTATGAGGGACGTATTTTTTACGAAAAAAAATTACTTATAAGTGTATTTCACCTCAAGGAAAATTTAACGGTAATTTTAATGTCAGAATTTTTACTTAATGGTGAATGTTTCTCATAAGTCATAATTTTACGATATTAAGACAACTTTATAACCGTAAATAATTCCTAATCGCCTGGTATCTTTTAGGGTTATTACTATTAATATTGACCAAACAAGGAAAAATAAGCTTAAAGTGAAAAATAAAACTTTAAGGGAATTTTTTTTTCAGGTGGCCATAATGAGTTTTTTAAGATGGCATCCATTACTTATCTAAACATTTATATAATATTTTTTCATAAATATTTTTCTAAAATATAATAAGGACAGTTTTAGTTATTAAAAAATGATTAAAACTAAATGATTTTTAAAAGATTTTATAAAATTTTGTAGGCTTTAAGTTTTGTTGAATTTTTACCCAAGCAATAATTTTTCTTAAAACCGTAAAATATTTGGAGGGCATATAATTTTTAAGATGAATCGTGCCTATTTTTATCTATGCGTTTGAGTTTTAATGCAAAATATTATTAGTTTTGACTATTTAAGTTATATTTCTTAATTTTACTCTAGGGTGGCCTTTATTACTTTGTAAGTACCATTTTGTAAAATATAAATTAAAAGAACAAAGAAATTACTAATGTCAATGTTTTAGAAAGAGAGAGCAAACAGTTAGTAATTATAGCGTTATTTTTACGTAAATTTGTGGTATTTATATATTTTTACGTTATTCTCTTAGTAGTTCAAAAAGGTTATTATGTAGGTAAAACCATGACCCAAATTTGGTAATTTTTCGTATCTATACCGTTATAAAACCGTTTTGGTTAACCGTAAAAAATACTTTAAAGTTGACTTAGTAGTAAATTTGTAGTTATTTAAACTTAAAATGCTGCTTGGGTTTGGCTATTTAACCTCTATGGAGTATACACATGGAAGGATACTTGGTGCACCCAGTATAATATTTACCCCTCAAATGTTATGAACAGCGATAAAGTTCTTCTTTGTTGTTATAATTAAAAGTTACCTGCATGCTGAACTATGCTTAATAAACATCTTGGGACCGTCGCGACGCGTCATCATAGAATGCTCCAAATCAATAGTCAATAGAAGTAAAGTGATGACAGTTGTAATGACTTGATTAAAGCCACAGTGGATGAAAATGTAAATGATCTCCCTAAGTTAATGAATGCCTTAGCAAATAAGTGTGACCTATCCTAATGAAATGCAAATGTCAGTAGTAGATCGTTCTTTTTTATTTATGTGCTATACAAAAAGTCATAAAATAGGGAATGTCGGCTCCATTATCAATGTAGCAGTATCGGTCATTTGACCACTTTTTCTAATTGACCATTCTTCTATTTGATGTGCCGATACATTTTAAATCGATGCCCAATAATTGCTTTCCACGTCCACAATCAACATCCCATTGCACAATGTAGAAATTGCATTAAATTCAAAAAAAGAAATATTAATGGAAAAATGTTTTAGAGGAAGCTTTTTGCTTTCAGGATTTACACATCGTTTATGTAGATTATATTAAAATCTCATTTCAAATCCGATCATACGAAATACAACAGATGATTGAAAAGGACTCCTAAACAAAATAGTCAATTTCTTGCTGATAATCGAAGTTATTGGGAATTGAAAAAATATAAATGCAAGTTCCTCCCTCGATCAAAATATCAATTACTCAATTATTTTTGTAGGGGAGAAGACGCGTTTGCACTGAATGAACTCAAAAGCCCTTTATTTAATTCGTGCAATTACGATAAATAACGGGATTATATAATTTAATTTAAAAGGCGTTCAAATGAAGACATTTTTAATGAAAGAATTTTTAAAAGCACACGAGTGGAGATAAATGTGGAGGGTAAACAAAAGTTGTCTGACAAACATCATTAAAGTTAAGCGTGAAAAGAATATAGTAATTACTAAAGATGCGCCAGCGTTTGCGACTTGTATATAATATGTTGTTTACCGATTTCACTTTTAATCGCATTTCCTCCGGTGGCCATTGCCATACCTTTCTTCTTCGTTTTTTTGCCTTTACGAAACTCTTTGCAAAATGGAATAATGAATGAGCTAAAGCTGCGGAAGTTAAGAGGATGCGACGCGACATGAGACAAATCTCTTGGGATACGAATGCGATGTATACAGAACCCAGACAAACTACTCGCTACACACCTATCGAGAATACACCTTCGTTTAAGCCTACTAGTCTACTCTACTTACCTTCATACTTACCACGTTCAAAGACTTTAACCTTTGAATTCAGCATATTCAATTTTTGCAAATGGCCTTTTAAGCAAAATGTCAATTATAATAAATGTTTACTACTCTCAAAAAAGTGAAAAAGCAGTCACTAATTACTGTAGTCCACAGCAATTTGTATCCTGGATATTTAACAGACAATTCTTATGCAAAATTGTCTCCTGAATCCGAAAAGATCGTCAAAAATTATAGGCTAACGCCCAAACATCCTTGGCGGGAGCGACCTTACCGTTCTACACCCCTTTCTACACCGCACTTTTCGCTCTCGCTTAATAAAGTTTTATGCTAAATGAGTGTCTTCTTGGCTGGGTTGTTTGTTGTGAGAATTATGAGTAATTTAAATGAATTTTAATTTTAATTTATTTATAAACATTACATTACATTACATTGGGAACAAAAAAATACAAAACTTGTAATAATTATTATTATAAAAAATAATAAAGATAATTATCTTATAATCTTTACTTTAATTTTGTTCAAGCTTTTAAAGTATAAATCAGTTTAATGTTCCACATATTTAGTTCATATTATAGGGTTTAAAAGAGGATAGCTATCCTATCCTATCCTATCATCTAGATGTACTAAAAATTAAAATATACAAAATAGTGCAACATTTTTCTTCATAAAATTTATTTATTCCTCTAAAAATAATATTTATTATTTATTTAGGTTTACATATTACTTATTGTAATTTGTAATTTTAACAAATAATAAGGAAATATTCATTACATACACCTTCAAAATATTGTAATTTACTATAGTATAGAGCTCTAGTTAATCAGTTTTTTTTAAATAATTTATCAAAAAAAGCATATTAAAAATTAAAAATTAACAAAACATAAAAATTGGTAAAATGTATTAAATAAAAAAAATAATAATGAAAAATTTTAGTTATCAATATCAATAAATTTAATTATTTTAATTTATTTATTTACAATAAGCGGCTGTTAAAGAAGAAAAAAAGGATTTTCTTTGGTGTTAAACAAAATTTTTGTCAGAAAAGTCTCGTAAGTACTAGAAAACTCATAATAAAAATATTATAACCAATATGCAAAATATTATGCTGTTTAAAGTATAGCCAAGCTATAAAATCAAAATTTTGGGTGGGATAAAGTATCTCATTACAGCACCGAAAGCGGAGTTATAATGAAGTCATTATGAACCCAAAATAGATAAAAATAATAATAAAAGTTTTTTAATATTAAATTGTCTTTAAAAAAATAATGTAGATCCAGCAAAAATGCAGCTGGATTAAAAACTCTGCTGGATTGAAATCCCTAACATTGACTTCTTCAGAATGTATTTAAACTTATAATTAATTGAGTTTCTATAACACAATGTTTTATGGTACACCTGATCTACCTGAACAATAACTGCTTAAAACATTAAAAGAGAATAATTATGGAAAACCTTAATTTATTGTAGTATAATTAAAATAAATTCAATAATAGTATATTAAAGAACTAATGTGATAAGACGTCATTTTGTCACATGCGAAAATATTATAACCAATATGCAAAATATTATGCTGTTTAAAGTATAGCCAACCTATAAAAACAAAATTTTGGGTGGGATAAAGTACCTCATTACAGCACCGAAAGCGGTGTTACAATGAAGTCATTATGAACGCAAAATACATAGATAAAGGTAAATTATTGGTCTCATTTTGATCATTTTATACATTATCAGTTCTTTTTAATTTGTTGATTTCCAGTGATTCTAATAAATTTAATTTTATGCCTTTACTTATTACATGTAGAATTTTAAATATAATATTATTAAAAGTATGGTTTTAAGTATAAATACATTCTGAAGAAGTTACTGTGTGACGAAACAATTGTCAAAAGTAAATAAATGTCTGGGATACAAATTGCTGTTGAATTTTTTGAATTATTAGTGGCTGCTTTTTCGCTATGACAATTAATCATTTTTGATTCATTTATTTTTAGAGAGTATGGATGACATGATTGGGCTGTAGAGAATCCAAGAGCTGTTGTTTATTATTATTATTTTAATATAACGATATCACATCGCTTTTTAATGCTGTTTAAATATTGAAAATGTGCAACTGGAAATCCCATAATAGTGTGTAATATTGGACGTGAATAAAATGGTAAAATTGATCGAGATTTTTGCATACAATTACTAATCCCCTTTTCAATTAACTGATAAGAGCTTCAGAGGAGATCTTATTAAAATTTCCAATTAAACTTTAAACAATTATGCTGTAGCTATAGTATGGGATATAAGCTCTAAAAATCAATTTGAGGCATAATTTCGGTATAAAAAGTAAGCAGGATAAAATAAAAGTAAATCGGCGATTTATATGCAAGGAAAGGAAGTTGCTCGAGTAAAATAATAGAGGGAGGATTAGGCGGCGTCAATGGATATGGATTTGCGATCCGGCCGTGTCTATCGCCTTTTGCAATGCTGTAAATACCTTAATCCCGGTACTGCTGTGACAGTTTGGCCGTCCTGCAACAACCAGTCGACCTGCGGTGTTGGCGAGCCGTGCGCCGAGCAGCTTACTTGAGATCCCGTCGTGTTGGAGAAGGTGAGATGGGCCGGTGGTTCCAGCAGAAACACAGGACCCTGGTTTTGCGCCCGAACACCTGAAAGAAAAGATGTTTTTCTTTAACCTTTTCAATCGCAACGCAGGATAAATATTGGATTACCAGAGATTCTACTTCACCGGAAACCTATATTTTATATTTACGAAATAAAATTCATTTGTATTTATTTGGTAATCTTATACATGCTGCAGAAGAGAAAGATATCGGCTTTCTAAACCTGTAAAATCAGATCAATAAAAAAATTTTCAGCAGGATTAAAAGTCTAATGCCAATTTAAATTATAAATATAGACTGCTACTGCGGCATGGGTAAATTCAGCTGCAAATGAACATGTGAGTGCAGTAGACAGGTGTTTTATACCCATAAACATAAACCAGAATAAACATGCTCGTTGAAACTCGACGAAAAAATAACGTCACCCTATTAATAGACAATTTTCCAATTTGGTTTGGTGTAAATATTATATTATGTATCAAGTTTGATAAACGCCATTTTAGTCACGAATTGAGTCGCATAGATACTATACTTTTTCTATAGAAAAAAATAATCTCTTAAAAGAAATGAAAACCACTTTGGGCCAAGAGCTATGTTTCTTAATCTAAATCAGAAACTATCTTCACGTAAATTTTGAGGGGAGAGATTAATCTATTCGTATTAATCAAGAGCAAGCGATTTCTTGGTACAAGAACCAAAAATATTTCTTCGGAAGATATTTCTCTTTTAAATTAAGAAAAAGATTTTTAGCACAAAAAAATAAGAAGACTGCATCTCTTAATTGAAAAGCTTTCTAAGAAAGAAAATTCGTCTTGCTACAAAAGCATATATGCTGCATATATACGAGGTGTGTTCAGATATCGGGAATTTTCGTTTTTTATAACAAATATTTATTTATTCGTCTACATTAATATTGTCGCCTTCAAAATAGTCCCCATTGGATATTATGCACATGTGCCAGCTCTTCTTCCAATACTCGAAACACTTCTAAAACTCGATCTTTGGGATAGCCTTTAGTTCTTTCAGGGATGCGCTTTTAATGTCATATATGCTTGCAAAACGACGGCCCTTTAAGGTTCTCTTTATTTTTGGGAATAGGAAAAGTCAGACAGAGGCATGTCTGGCGAATATGGAGGCTGGGGCATCATTACAGTATTGTTTTTGGCCAAAAATTTTGTTCAAAATTTAACAATTTTAGAACAAATTTTGCTGCCACGCGTTTCATACCCAAAACATTCGAAAAAATTTCATGGGATGAGCCAATCGATATACCAACATCATCAGCGACTTCTCTGATGGTTTATAACCATTTTTTCCACATTTTCCATGTTTTTATCGGCTGTTAATATGCTTGTGCGTTCGGGGCGTTCGTCATCTTCAACGTCTTCACGGCCATCTTGGAAACTCTTATACCACTTGTAAGCTCTTGTTTTACTTATAGCAGACTCACTATAGGCCTTTGTTAACATTTCACAGAATTTATTTCATTTTTTTAAAGCAAAATTGGATACAAATTCTTTGATCCATTTCTTTCGAAGGAACGAAAATCGCCGAGCTCATAAAACACGTCTAACCTTAGCGGCTGTCATAGACAAAGTAAACAATGAAAACAGCTAAAGTTTTTATCATACTTCGGGGGCATGTATACCAACATAATAAAGAAAATTTTATGACAACCGGACCCTCCGAAACCTAACCTTAACAATTCCCGTTATTTTCACAACACACCTCGTAGGTATCTCAGAAACTACTGGAGTTACAAAAAATAATAGCAAAAATTGTAAAAATTAACCAATCAAGAGCAACATTATTAAGAAGGGTGGACATGGGAACATTTGGTTTAAAATTGTTTATTATTTATATTATATTCTAAATTAAACTATAATTTATTTATTTATATTAATATATATATATATATATATATATATATATATATATATATATATATATATATATATATATATATATATAATAACAATGTTAATATATTATTAAAATATACTACCTACATACATTTTTTGGAACAGTAGTTTCTGATATAAGTATATGGGTCCCCTTACTTGGTTCACCCCAATAATGTATTCTATGGCACGCCGCTTTAGCATTTATTGGATAATAGTTTGAATAGTTGAAATTTTAATTTAATTAGTTGAATTAAAATTAACGATTTAAATAATGATTTTAATCAAGGGATTTTAATAATTTAATTTTAATAAGAAATCATGATAAAAATTAATTAAAAAATAGCCCCAAAACAAAAACAAACATTTTACTAAAAATTAAAGGGATGCATTTTCCAAATTAAAAAATTGCAGTGACACGCTGTGGGGTTTTTGTAAGTAGAAATATTTTTGCGCTTGTTTTATTTTCTCCCTTGGCATTCTTTGTAAATTTCGACATGCAAAATTTTTATTTACTTCTGTACTATTATATACCTTATTATGTTTATTTATGTTTCATTTATTTATTTATTGTACCTGTTATTTATAATAAACGTATAAAATTTATAAAAGTTGAACTTTTTATACAATCCTGTCAGCAAGTAAGTATAATAATTATTATAAAAATGCATAATTTCGACTTTAAGACATATTTTATTAAAGTAACTAAATTGTTAATAAAGATAATAACACATTTTATCTTTTTGCAAAAATTCTATAAAAAAAATTAATTTTACAACTTAAATTTAATTTGGTCGAATTTTACTTTAGATAGTTGGTATCACAGTCATTGGTTTGATAGTTAATGTCAAAATCGATTGGTCATGCCGTCCTTAATTTACTTATTTACAATAAGCGGATGTTAATGTTAAATAAAAAAAAAGGATTTTCTTTGGTGTTAAACAAAATGTATTGCCAGAAAAGTCTCGTAAGTACTAGAAAAATCATAAAAATATAATAACCAATATGCAAAATATGCTGTTTAAAGTATAGCCAACCTATAAAATCAAAATTTTGGGTGGGATAAAGTATCTCATTACAGCACCGAAAGCAGTGAAGTCATTATGAACGCAAAAAGATAAAAACAGTATAATATTACAAAACTACTCACTATGCAAAGTCATAAACAGACAACCACCAAATGGCCGAATTTTCCGTTTCCCATGGGCATTCATTCGTACCTAAATTTTATTCATTAGGACATCACTTAAATTAATATTAACCACAGTAGTGGTAAACGTATATGAAATTAATATTTGTAGTGGTAAGCTATATATTTATTACAAACCAGTTTTTTAACTATTTTGTCATAATCCGTACCACTTCTAGTAGTGGTAAATTGAATTTACAGAGTACTACTACAAAAGTAGGAATAATAAGTTTAAATAATAATAAGTTTTGTACCTTGAAAAAATAAGGTAAATATTTTATGGCGGATTCAGCCTAATTAAAATGCAACATTTAAAAAGTTTTAACGCGGTTTGAAATCTATTACTGCCGTTCCGTTTATATCTGATATAAAAGCTTTTCACTTAACACTCACCCATTTTGACGTTATTTTATATTCCTTTTTTCTATACACTTAAAATTGCTCTTACAATAAAAATAAAAAGGCACACAATAGAATGGAAAAAAAATATTTTCCCTTTCGTGGTATTTATTGGGCCACCTAATAAGATTATCCATACTGGAAACATAAGAACTCCTTCATATGTCGAAATACATTTTCAGCTTTACTGATTTAAAAGTTTTTATTTTTATGAACCTTTAAACCCTTTTGACTTTGTTTTTTTTTATTTTGCCAGCAAGCTTAAAGGGTAACATTTATTAAAATCTCTTAAAATTCTATTATTATTATTAAATTATTTTTCTATTTTAATTAAAATAGTAGTATCCCAATAAACAATTTGTACTACTTATGGTAACGATACATTATATAAAGGTTATATAAGAGTTGTCAAATTATATACGAGTTTAACAAGGTTTTATAAAATCAACATTTAGTTTATTAGTTTTATAATGGTCATATAAGGTTACTGTAAACTCTAGCTATGTAATTAGGTTATATAATTGTTTTTATATAACCTTTAGTAACTGTTACCAGTAGGTTTATAAAGGAGTTTTATAAAGTTTGCGGTTACCTGTTTTATAAAACTATTGTCTTTAATTTTTTTTAATTGTGAGTTATTAAATATGTATGTGCTTAATAAACCAAAAATGTTTAGTAATTGAAACAGAAATTAAGCATAGTATTAGCTTTCGACGCAATGCTTTTTCATAATTTTAATTAAAAAATGGTTAAAAAGAAAATATTTAGCATAATATAATATTATTAACATACAAATTTTAAAAATGTATTAAATCGAATGTTTAGTGAAATAAATTGATTCCATTGCGTTAACACTATTATTACTGCAGGCAAAAATGGCGAATCTGAAAACACTAACCTGAGCGGTTAGATGGTTGTCTATTGAAAGTTTTATAACATCACTTGTAGTAACGACAGTTACTACAATGTATATAAGAGTTTTTAAATTATATAATAACACTTAAAGTAATTTAGATACTTCTATAAAACTGAAATAGTACCTTAGGTTATATAAAATTACCATGATCATTATAAGAGGGCTTACATTCTTTCCGCCATGATTGTTTTTTACATAAAATAAATGTTAATCGAATTGTATTACAAAAACAACTTAATTAACCAAACTAAGGTAAAAAAATCACTACTTTAATGTAAGCCAAAGATATATATATATATTTTTTAATAGTATAAAAAATATTTATGTTTTGTTATTTTGAGTATTGTGTACATATTTACAATAACAATTACTTTGCACTTTAAGTCGTTTAAGTTGATTAAAAATCTTAGATTTAAATTATATACCATTAATATTGTACGTTTTTACTGTTTGTAGTGCACTGCGAACTAAACTATTTTTTTTTATAACTTAATTACACTTAAAACACTATAAAACTAACTAAACACTTAACTACTAATTATTTATATATCACTACTGTTCTAGAGTCTATTTATTTGCACGTATATATGCGACGAAATAAATAAATATATTTATTTATTTTGTCGCGAGTACCAAAGCT